CTCGTAATATTTGCTCAAACATTCACCTTCTACTGTTTTGGTGGCTTGTACTCATATTCCACCCCTCCTCATTGGCTTGCATGAAGCAAAGGTGTGCTTAAAATCAGCTGATAACCACTCGATAGTTACGGTCAGCCACAGTAAATACGCCAAAATGCAAAAAACCTAGACACCGCAGCAACCGACTGCTCGACTGCCTATCTGGCTCACTAAGTCTGCAATCATCAAAGTGATAACGGTTCTGTTGAAGGCGACCACAAACAAAGTTGTTGATCAGCTAATGTACTGATCCACGCATGGCTGTCCACCTATCATAGCACCCGGAATCACGACCATAGTCTGTGTGGGTGACGGTGATTTCGTTTCCCACCATACACGCGCTCGTACGTGGTATCAAATGACTGGCGTTGGGCTAGATGATCCTGAAACAAATACATCACATTAAGTGTTGCAAAAATTGGAGTACGACCGATTGCCATGTCCGTCTATATTGATGTGCATCCACACGGCCTACGAGGGAGGTAGGTGAAGTGGAGTAAGTACGCAAGAGTGAGCGGAAGGAAGTGGAAAGCACACTGGAGCTGACTAAGTACTATGTGAATAGAGGAGCTAGAAAGCAAACGTCATTACCCTGGATACTCGCATTCACCTCAAGTGTTAAAGTGCAGTGTAGAATAGGGAATATGTGTAACAATACGGATGCTCTGTATTGCAGATGAATCATGGCAGAAACAGACAATGTTCTGTTGAGTGTCATATTCTTGATCAAACCTGCTATAACATTGATGGAGGGATATGTAGAGTACTGAAACCGATATTGCTCCATTATACGAGAGGTTCCTTGCATCTTCTTATAAACTCACAGCAGAAGAGATGGCACCGGGAAGACTTTGGGTGTTCTGAGCGCCTAGCGTTATCAAACCAATTAGTACCAACAGTTCTCCACAAATTACACAAGCAACTGGATTGTGTAGGTGTAAAGATGGCAGACAACTTGAGCAAAAGATACTGGTGGCCTATGCTTGATCGTCAAGTATTTAAAAGCCCCTTCTTTCACAGAAGTTAATTTTTGCTTTGGAAATATAAGGATACTCCTAATGATGATAGGTGATGGCACTCATTAGCTTAATTTAACATATTTCAAAGCGAAAATGACAAATGGTTGCATGCGTTGCACTGGGACTTTCTTGAAAATGAATGAGGAAGTAGTACCCAGAATATACTTATATTTCTACATACAGCTGAAGTTGGGCTACCGACACGATACAGAGGCCAACAGACCTCACGAAGTCGCAATGGTAAGGACACAAATAGCTCTCATAATCAAACCAAAAGTTAAACAACTAACGAGTTGCATAGATTTCTCG